TAAAGGTACAAGATCCCAATGATGAATGTAACTGTATTGTATACCTAAAATGTACCAATAAAGTTAATGAGGAAAAGAGAGAGAGAGAAAAAAGAAACCTGTATGTAGAACTTTTCTAGAGAAAATTGATATAAAATTTAAACTGTGACTACATCTTCCTCTGGAAAGTCAATTTTTGTGTTAATAATATAAGGCAAATTTTTCTTAAGAGTATATGAAACATTTTAATCCTACATGATGAATTTCTAAAATAAGCTAGCTGTTGTCTCATGTTCTGGATTTTAAATCTGTAATATTTTTCAAAGAGTTTTTGTATGGTATAATACTATAAAATATTTATTATTATTAGCTTACAAAATAATAGTGAAATATTTAATATAGTCTAATAAAAGATCTATGAAAAGCAGAAAAAAAAAGAAAATGTCTATTGAGGTCCTTTTTCAAAAATTGATTATTTTTGTTTTGGGTTTTGCTGTTGCATTGTTTGAGTTCTTTATATATTCAAGATATATTAATCTCTTGTAGAAAGACTCCATTTTTAAAGATGACAGTCCTAAAATTAAAGTGCAGATTTATTGCAAGTACTGCATTTAATGTCAATTGTTTTGTTCTGTGTATTGTTGAACTTGGAACTTGACTCATCTATGTACCCATACTCTTTGTATTTGTATGAAGAAAAGTGGAGATTATTAAAGTGTTTGGTGATAGAACAGACATTGCAGGTCACTTTTATATTCTCCTGTATATTTTTGTTCTGCTTGCACATATTTAAAGAAATAAAAGTTTGTATAATAAGAGAAGGAAAGAGAGAGAGGGAGAGAGCAGAGGAGTAGAGAGATATTAATTCTATTTCTATTGTGGGGAGATATATCTTTTTGTCTAGGAGAGTAGTTTTACGGCTTTTTGTTTGTTTAGACATGTATGTCAGAATCTGATGACAGCTATAATTTCTTGCCCTACTAAAGTGAACACATGGGCTGGGGATATAGTTCATTGGTACAGCACTTGCCTAGCAGGAGCAAGGTCCTGGGTTCAATCCCCAGTACCATCAATCAATAAATAAAATGAACACATTTATGAACACAACTTTAATACAAAGCTTACTCTAGGTTTAGTGTGGTCAGTGGGGATTGTTTCTTGGGCCTGGGCATACATTTAGCTGAGGAGACACCAAGGTGGATGTTGACTGGCAGGACGTGACTCTGCAATAAGTTTAGCTTCTTCCTGGGTGCCCTGGAGCTGAAGAGGCTAGAAATAAGAGGCCCAACAGGTTGCATCTCTCAGGTCATGTGGTATTAGTGGCACCATGAATAAAAGCAGAGAGGTAGATGGGAACAGCAGTCCCTTCTGTGGTTCAGTTAACTCTGAGAATTTGGGAGAGGAAGTGAAGGAGACAAACGTATTTACTCTGGTCATCTGACTAAAGGTATCATTTGCCATCTTGGTCATCCATCCATGTATATTTTTGGATTGAATAACAGGTGCCTGAATATAGTGAATTAGAAGCTCTGGAATGTGGGAGGGGTTGGAGGTAGCACATTCCTCATTTTTTGACAGGGTAGGGAGGATCCAACAATTTCAGCATCTGTCACCCTCAGCTGCCTCAGCTTTATTAGACTGGAATCTAATTCAAGGGCAGGTGTTCAGAGTAGCCATCAAATCAGGAGAGGTTCACACAGCAGTCAGTCAAGCCTTTGGGAACTTAAATACATGCTTTGCTTTAACCAAACAAGACAGGATTGTTTTGCTTTTATTTTACCAAATTGCAAGTTGAGCCAATAGTAGAAAATGTAAATGAGTCATTTGTGTTAACACGCCCAGATTACAAATTGGTCATTTCTTCTTGGACTAATTCATAAGTTATGTAAAAAATTCCAGTTTCAATTTTAAAACAAGTTAGTGTGTTTTGAAAGCTATTTGGCTGTAACCTATAGAGACATTTTTCTTGTGTTACAAATAAATATAATGAAATTAGTGAGGTTTGTTGGGTTTTCCCCTCCCACTTAAATTTTTGTCCACTCAAATGAAAAGGGCATCACTTTGTTTTCTCAATGTAAAAGTAACATGTTACTGACTTTAAAAAAATCAACAAGAAACTGGTAGCAATCTCAGTACTGTAATCACAGCACTCTGAGAGCCTGAGGCAGGAGGATCACAAGTTCAAGCCCAGGGCAATTTAACAAGACCCTGTCTCAAGATAAAAAAAAAAATTAAATTAAATTAAAAAGGGTTGGGATGTAGTTCAGTGAGAAGGCCCTGGGTTCAATCCCAATCTCTGAAAAAGGAAACCCTCAAATAAAAAACAAACAAACAAACACAAATAAACAAACAGGAAAGCTCAGAAGAATAAGACACTCCCATTATCTATCTCCTTTTTTGAGATATTGACCCCCATTTGGTATAAGAGTACAGGGAAAATGTTCAACCTTCATAACTGAAGAAGGTGGGAGGTGGAAGGCAAAGCAGCTGGATCGGGAGTAAAGATGATACAAAATTATTCCTCCTCAAAGAGAAATAAAAGGCTAATGGACATGGGAATAAGATGCAGCCTCTCCGTGTTAAGCAAAAAAAGGCAAATTCGAATGGCAGGGAGAAGGCGCTTCTGGTCTCCGTGATTGGCCAAAAGGAGGGGAAGGGCTGGCTCCTGCCCACGGCTGGTGGGAGTGGTAACTGGGGTCCTGATCTCAGGGGTGACGTAGCCCTCACGTGAGCGGGAGCTGACGTATGCAGACGTCCTTTTAATCCTGGTCTTCCTTTGGTCCGATTGCTTGGTCGCTATTTTTACCCAGACATCTGGCGAGCCTGTGGTGGATAGTAGGAAGAGGAGGAGGTAAATGCTTGGATTCTAGCAGGTCTGTTTGTGGATGGGCGTTGCTTGGGGATCCCTTCCTTGCGGGCAGCGGAGGGCGGAGACCAAATGAACACAGCCTAGTCCCCTCCATTTTCCTAGCAATATCCCTGGCCCTTCCGGACCAAAAAAAAAAGGTGGATTTTGGAAGGCAGGAGTCGAGGGGAGACCTCGGACTAGGAGGCGGTAAAACTTTGTTATGCCAGAGCCTTGAGTTAGGGAGCGCAGGTATTAGGTTGGTGTTCTGTGTACTGGTTCGCCTGCCAAGCCAGAATCTTGGGATGTGAGACTGTCATTTCCCTTGTTTTTCAGTAGGGCGCGGTACCGTCGCTGTACTATTCCAGCAAAGGAATAATCTACTCTGAATCCCTGCAGGTCAGTGCAAAGCTCCGCAGGCCCCAGAAGGGTGGGGATGGGTGAGGACCCTGTCTAATTTGGGACTCTTATCCGCTCTTCAGCAATTTTTGCGCGCTTTTGCACGCGCGTTTAAAGAAAAAGGATGTGACAGTGCTAACAGGAAAAATAGTTACCATTGAGGGTGGGTTCCGTTACAGAGTAGGACACAAAAGATCGTTTGATCTTTTTTAACTCCTAAGGTTATTCTATAATCCTCAGCCCCACCTCTCTCCCTCCTTTCCAGAGGTTTCAAAGAGGCGTGGTTTTTGCTGGGAAAATGGCCCTGCCTGTGGGGAGTGGGGAACATGCGCTTACCTAGAGGGTTTGTGTCAGTGGAGTCCAGAGAAATGGGACTAGAGTAAGAGATAAAAAGGCAAAATGTATCTGACAACCAGGACCCTGAATTTGGAAAAGCTGGTTTTGGAACTCTCTGAAGTGCTGTTCTGTTCCCTGAGCCTCCCATCTTGGCTATGTCACCTGTGTCTGTGGATCTTGGGCCTGAATGAAGACCAGTCCAAACTTCAGAACCAGAAAGAGAAAAAAGTTGTCCAGAAGTAAATAGGTCAGATTGAGGGTGATGGTTTGGCAACTCCTGGGGTGGAGGATGATGGTGATTGTGAATCCGAGGGATTATAGACCTCCTGGAATCCTCCTCTTTCCCTCCTTTGTCTACACTTGGAGGTTGCCAAAGAAGTGCTCTCCAGATACTAGACAGGGAAGGAAGTGGCTGCTGTCAAGAGAGTTCTGGGATGGAGGTGGGGAGGATGTTACTGAAAATTACTGTTTGGGGTACAGTGTCTTTGGTGTTGGTCCCCCCACCAAACATTCAGTCCCAGAGCTGGTCAGTCCTTAGGTTTGTTGGAGGCAGAAACCGAGATGAGGGAGGAAGAAAATTGCTGAGTAGTGGAAATAGGTATAATTAGGGGGTGGGGATGTGGGAAGGCTGACCAGGTACCTTTGGTCTAGTTATTGAGGATGGCAGAGGTAAGTGTGGAGTGTGAGATCTTTTCATATTTCAAGCTAATTTGGCTTCTATATACTACTCTGTCCATTTTATTTCAAAGAAGGGAATGTGGAAGTCACCTCTGGAGGAAGTGATGATGGGGGTGGGGTTGTGCGGTGGAAAGTTGGAGAAGTAGATCTTTGAAGGAGGAGAGGGAGAGAGGAAATGAATTTCAAAACCAAAGCTCTCTGAGTACAGGAGGAATCAATAGGTGGGGAACTGCAAGGAAGGACTAGAGCCAAGGATTCATGAAAGGGATGTGTGTCCTATCCCTGGTTAGGTCTGTTTATCCCCTGAATTCTTATCACACCCTTCTCTATTCCCTTGTCTGCAGGTCTACAAGATTCAGTGCACTTGGAGCCTAGAAAGAGAAGGAAAAAACTGCTTGGACCTCTGTGGGTATTTGAGTGCTTCATTGCCCTAGGACATCTTGAAGGACAGAGGTGGCAGGGAGCTTTTCAAATACTTTAAATTTGATGTTCTGGGTGGGATGGTAAAATGTGAGGTCGGGATATTGGGAAAATTTCCAAAATTAGCTTCCCAATTGAGAAAAGGAATCAATGACCTTGATAGCAAGCTCTGAGTCTGGGCCAATAACCTCCTGGTTATATATTTGTAGTTCAGTTTGTTTGCATGCAAAGGCACAAAGGGAGAAGGCCAAAGCTTGAAATCTTTCCTTTATTCCTAGATTGCCCTGTTACTGCAGTTGCAGCAGTCTGCCGGCAGCAGCTGAAGACTCCACCCCTTACACAGGAGTATCCTGGGCCAGAGCAAGCCTGCTCTGTGCCCAGGTTAAGAAATTCACTCCAGCTATACCATGGGCCGCACTAGGGAGGCTGGCTGTGTAGCCGTTGGCATGGTCATTGGGGCTGGTGCCTGCTACTGCGTATACAGACTGACCTGGCGAAAAGATGAGAATGAGAAAACCTGGGATGATGATGATGAAGAGTCTAGTGATACATCAGAAACTGGGGTTGAGACTGAGAAAGGAGCCAAGATTAATGTTGGGGTGGGGGTCGGAGCCAAACCTCAGAGTGACACTAAGGCCAAGGCTGAGGTGAGATTGGGACTTGAGAGTGGTCCGGGTGTAAAGAAGGAGTCCCATTGTGGATCCCAGAGTGGAGGTGGCCTGGAAGCTAAGGCCAAGGCCCTTTTCAACATCTTGAAGGAACAGGCAAGTGCAAAAGTGGGCAAAGGGGGCAGGGTGGGTAACATTTCTGGGAATAGGACCCTTGCACCAAGTTTGCCCTGCCCAGGAGGCAGAGGTGGAGGCTGCCACTCCGCTAAGAGTGGAGCTAGGGCTGGGAGCAAGGCAAGTGGAAAATCCAAGGGAAAGGCTCGAAGTAAGAGCACTAGGGCTCTACCTACAACGTGGCCTGTCCGCAGGGGCAAGTTCAACTTTCCCTATAAAATTGATGATATTCTAAGTACTCCAGATCTTCAAAAGGTCCTTAACATCCTGGAGAGAACAAATGATCCTTTTATTCAAGAAGTAGCCTTGGTCACTCTGGGTAACAATGCGGCATATTCATTTAATCAAAATGCCATACGTGAATTGGGTGGTGTCCCAGTTATTGCAAAACTAATAAAAACGAAAGACCTCATTATTAGGGAAAAGACTTACAATGCCCTTAATAACTTGAGTGTGAATGCTGAAAATCAGGGCAAGATTAAGACATATATCAGTCAAGTGTGTGATGATACCATGATCTGTCGCCTGGATTCAGCTGTGCAGATGGCTGGACTAAGACTGTTAACCAACATGACTGTGACCAATCATTACCAACATTTGCTTTCCTATTCTTTTCCAGATTTTTTTGCTTTATTATTCCTAGGAAATCACTTCACCAAGATACAGATTATGAAACTAATTATAAACTTTACTGAAAACCCAGCCATGACAAGAGAGCTGGTCAGTTGTAAAGTACCGTCAGAGTTGATTTCTCTCTTTAATAAAGAATGGGATAGAGAGATTCTTCTTAATATCCTCACTCTTTTTGAGAATATAAATGACAACATAAAAAGTGAAGGCCTTGCATCATCCAGGAAAGAATTCAGCAGAAGTTCACTTTTTTTTTTATTTAAAGAATCTGGAGTATGTGTTAAGAAAATCAGAGCATTAGCAAATCATAGTGATCTAGTGGTGAAAGTAAAAGTCCTGAAAGTATTAACCAAACTCTAATTTCTGTCCCAAACGCTAGGAACAATGTGTTTTTTAAAGTTTTTGTTTTTTACTGTGCTTATTTGGCAAAGAGATCCTTTGAGCTGCTATTTTGGAATAATAAATACCACAGATTATTAATAGTCATTGATGTGGGGTTCAAACAGGACCATTTTAAGAATACCAAGTGAACATTGGAGCTTGCAAAACATTTGTTGATTTTATCTTCCTCCCTAGGTTGAGATTTTTTACTTTACATATACTGACAGTGAAGTAAATGTACATTATGAATAAGTTATACTCTTTTGTATTGTTTTATATTTGTTAGCCTAAGACTCCTGTTTTATCAATAAAGTTCTGTGTTTTGAGCAGCAGAAGAAAAAAGGCATTGGGTCTGTTTGGAAAGACGATAAATGGAAACAAAAAGTCAAAATTAGAGGCCTCCAGCCATGGCCAGGTGGCTCCCAAAGGTGCTTCAAGGCACCAAAACCTGCTGCACACAAAGGTATTCAGGAAAAGTTTTACAGAGGATGGGGGGGCACTAATAAGCTGGGCTTGAAGGATAAGATACAAAGGGTCAGAAGGTCATGCAAAGAAGAACAGTGGTGGAAGAAAGGCGTGGAGGTGGGAATTTTGCTCCAGAGAGGAAGCTGGTCTGCCTGGAGTAGAGAGTGTGGAGAGGAGAGTAGGGGGGTGTGGGTAGAGTCAGTAATTGAGGACAGTCTTACTCTCTTTTCCTTGGCGCACTTCCAGTTGCTGAACTGGGGTGTCTGGATATTACCCTCATCTGCCCCTGGGAGACAACAAGGCCTTTCATAACCAGAGGAATGACAGGATGAAAGGAAACAATATGGCCGCTTTGTGTGTAGGATGGGTGTGAGTTGGGGTGGGACGGGAATGGAGACTGCAGATTGGAAATCTAGTTAGGAAGTTAGCTACCATAGACATGCAGGAGATGAGAAAGGCATGGAATTTCACTGGTGGCTGGGAATGGTAGGGACAGGAAGGAAGCAAGAGATCTATTCTGCTGCAGCCTACTCTGAAGACATAAAGAAAGTTAACTTTATTTTAGGGTTCTGGAGCCACATGATAGGAACATGTACTCTTTCTTGGTTAACGCTAGTGTCTATATAATGGATAAGAGTTATGTTTTGAAATAATAAACTGTAGTGGAAGAAAGCATGGTTTTTAGAGCTTGTTCAGATTGCTTTTATAAGGTTATTTGGAGGGAGCCTTTATGGAACCATAGAGAGTGCTTTTGGGATCCACAGGGAAGACCCACTTGTCTCCCACCCCATAGTATTGGTGAGGGTATGGGAGGAGGAGAGCTCTCAAACTGTGAGATGAAGACCACACAAGGTATGAGGGCCACTGAGATAGATGCTTCAGAAACCTTTAACATGTGCATGCCCTTTGACCCAGTAATATCATTGTCGATATTTACCCTTAGGAATTAGGCAAATAATTGACTTGTACAAAGCTGTGCATTTTCCAATTATTATGAAAGGTGAAAAAGTATAAATGACTCAAGTAACACTGAAAATTTAGATGGACATCTATATTAATTTATATGCAAAAACTGAAGATATAATTTCAAGTTGGAAAAATAGGCCATAAAAGTATATAAAATACATTTTATGAAAAGATATGCATTTAAAAATCTGTATGTATAACTGGTGCATACTCTGTACAAGTTAATAGCTTTTATAGGTGTTAGACTGATGGTCATTTTAAAAGCTCAGGTATATTTTTGACATTTACAGAATAAATTGGGAAATTTTACATTATTGGCCCAAAAGGAAAAGGTTAGTTTCAGCATAAGCAGACCTGTAAATAGTACTGGAGGGGCCTACAACAAAAGGCCAAGTGGAGACGCATGTATTTATGTTTTAATATTTGGAAGGTTTCACTTCAAATTTTATTCTTATTTTTATTTTTATTTTTTCACTTCAAATTTTAAATAAAGCAATACATGTTTAAAGATATAAATATTATAGTGTAAAAATAAAACTATTCTCAATTCTAGCATTTGATGACTACTAACTTTCTATCATAAAGAAATGATATCGTTCTGTAATAGATTCTGCCATCTGCTCCCCTGGTCCCCCTTCAGGAATAAAGAATATACTATTCAGTTGCTAGGAGTGCTGCCAGTAGATAGCCCTCATCTGTCAGCCCTCTTTGGGAAGTGCCTCAGAAGACAGGTACCTCCTCCAAGGGTTATATGTACCCCTTCCCGGGCGATTTCACATCCAGTGACTGATGGACATGGTCTTCTTGTCCCAAATTGAGACAGCTTATCTTCTCCCTCTGTCCAATTCTGCTTCCTTCTTTTCCCTTCCACAGGTGTGTTGATCCCAAGAGTATTCTTTAATAAAAGTTCTTCATGATGAACTCTGTTTCTGAGTCTGTTCTCCAGGAAGCCAACCTATAAGAGTTGGTACAGGAAAGCAAACACTGTAATGAAGTTTGGAGATGGATCACCTGCTGGCCAGTTGGGAATGAGGACCCCATCACTGGTGGTAGGTAGTGTAGGTTCCTGGAATGAGGTGACAGAATTGTTAGAGTGCCCCCTGGTGGTTTCCTGAGATGACATACTGGTGGTAAGGAATGTAGTGACTTGTAGTATGTATAACAACTTTGAGAAATATAAGGGAAATAATAAATAAAGGAAGGCCAGGGAATTAGATGATTATTGCTTACCTTGTTTGACCCCTAGAAAAAATAATGAAAAGGCTAACTAAATTAACCAACAATTAAAAGCTGTGCCTGAAAGCAAGAGTTATTCAGAGTGTGTAAGGAAGCTTTCATCTTTTCTAGGTAGAGGTAGAGAAATCTGAGGATGAGACCCAAGATTTTACTGAAAGCAGGCTTCAAAGAAAGTTAAAAGTTCAACCAAGACAAGTCTTCTATATTAAGATCAGGGCCCTGGTTAGGAAGGAATGGGACCCTCTAACATGGAATGGGACCTTTTGAATGATATTTCTAAACATCTTATATCTCTAGATTCCCTGCAATCCTTGGGTATTCAGAAATGTCCCACTCTTCCTTATTAAGGAGTAGGGAAGACTTTGCTTGAAAGTTCACAGCCCTTCCCCTGGGAAGAGAACATGGATTTCCCTTGAAATCTGTCCCCACTTCCCATCCTGGTCACTAAGTCTATAACTAAGGGTACTCCACAGCATAACCTAGCTGAGAACGTGATGGATGTAATAAGGAAGGAAAAGGAATATACCAACAAAGAGGTGAACAACCTAATTTAGCTAGCAGGTATTAGAAGGTGTGAAAGAGTAAGCATTGGATTACATTCTGAGTTCTGAGGCACTTGATTGGGGAGCTGGAAAATAATAAAATTGAGTACAGGAGAATGAATCAATTTGAAGATGCTCTCTTAGGAGCCTCCTGGAGTTGATGTGAACTCATTACTAGGATTATCCCTCAAAGTATAGAAAAAATAATAGCCTACATTAAGTGAGGTATAAATGACAGACTTGTCATAGCAGATGGTGGAAGGAGGGATTAAAGACTCAGAGAAGTGAGAATGATAGAAGAATTATATTACTTAAGGCTAAAAAATTCTCCAGCTCACTATATTCTGCAGGAGTATCCAAAGGACACACTACCAAAACTATAAGGAATGTACTGGTGAGAGGACCACTAATATCTCTTAAGAAGCTCAGCACTGGTGCTCCTTTGCAGACTAAGGCTCAGAGTAAGAGAGAATATTAAGGAAAGAAGATTAATGATAGAAATGATAATGACTCTGAAACAGTAGAAGAGATGACTGCATTTAACTGTCAGAAGGCAGGTGGATAAAAATAGCATAATGCACTCCAGGGGTCATAGTGGCAGGTGGGAAGGCCTAACCTGTAGAGACCTCCAGAGATGGTTAATAGAATATGATGCTTCAGCTGTGTAGACGGTAAAGTGATAAATAGGACACGGATCTTCTATATAACACAGTGTCCTGGGGAAAGTAAATAGGTAACAATTCGTGCTCAATTTGTACAACCAAAAGTAAATAAAGATATTTGGGAAGCTAGGGAAGATGCCTCAATCACAATCTCTCACTCAGCTTTTGGATCTAAGTTAGTTGTTTATTTAGAACACACGATTTGAAGGAAAGTCTGGGTACCCAGGAAGAAGGACCCAGTAATACATGTGTAACAAATATCTCTGGTTTTTCTATTGACTCAGGAAACTGTACGCCAAGAAGAGAAGTATACCTGAACATTTTTAGGGCAGGTGAACACTGATTATGAGTTGATGTTAATACCCAGAGACCCAAGATGTCATCATAGCTCCCAGATTTGATCGGGTGATATAAAGGCCAGGTATTAAATTAGATCCTAGCCTAGGTCTGGTTCACAATGGATCTACTGGGTCCACAGACCCACTTAGTGGTTATTTTCCTGATCTCTGAATGTATACTTGGAATAGATAGAGTTGGTACTTGGTGCAAACTGCACTGTAGTTTGTTGGCTTGTGGAGTCAGACCTATTTTATAGAGGAGAATGCCAAGTGAATGCTTCTGAAACTGTACTCCCCATCTGTGGCCAAGAGAGTACATGAGAACATCCTAGAGAGAGAGGATGGCAGAGATCAGTGTCATCTTTTAAGATCTGGAGAATGTAAGTATGTGGTCCCAATTATATTTTTATTTAATTCACCAGGCTTCCTCTCTGCAAAATTTGAGTAGAGCCTTGTGGATGATATAGGCTATTTCAAACTCAACCAATTAGTAGGAAAATTGCAGTACCACACCAGATATAGTATCTTTGTTAGAGCAGAATAACAGGGCCTCAAGTACCTAGTACTCAGCTATTGTGAAAAATGTTTGCTTTCTTCTCTTTATCAGGATGGAATATCAGAAAAAGTTCAAATTCACATAGAATAGAGAACAATATTCAATTAGTTTTTCTTCAAGAATCTACTAATTCTCATATCTTCTGTCATAATCTAGTCTCAAGATGTCTGTCTGGAGCATATAAACATCCTTCAGAAGGGGCAGCACGTTGGGTGCCTTGGTAAGGCATATGCACTACAGAGGATGGAAGATAAACCTTACAAAGATCCAGATGCTCGCCACAAAAAGTATAATTTTTAAGGGTTGAATGGTCTGAGGAATGCTGGAGATTCCCTTCAAAGTAAAGGACAGGGCTGAGGATATAGCTCAGTGGTAGACTACATATGTTTAGCAAATGTGAGGCCATGGGTGTGATCTACAGCACCACTAGGGGAAAAAAGAAAGAAGAGCAAAGAATAAATTGGAGCATTTTTCACCTTATTCGTGAAAAAGAAATTTCAGTGCCTGGTAGGCTTCTTTGGGATCTGGAAGCAGTGCATTTCACACCTGGAGTTACTGTTTCAA